TTTTGTTATCGATTTTGTAATCGATTTTTCGATAGATTTTGTAATCGGTTTTTATCGATTTTGTAATCGATTTAGTTAACGATTTTATTATCGATATTTTTATCGATTTTGTTATCGATTTTATTATCGCTTTTGTTATCGATATTTTTTTCTTAGTTTGTGCTTTCGTTTTTGACTTGGATATGCTCTTAACCATACCACGTATTCTACGTTTAAATTTAGCGGGTGTATCTCCGATACAGCCTGCAGACCAAGACGAAGGCGCTGGACTGTTCCTTTTTTTTGTACGGGGTTAAAATCTTGAGAAAATTATCCTACAAATTTGCAATTTTACTAAAGGGATACTCTTTAAGGGCTTGTACATCTAAGATCATTCAGGAATGCTTTAAGATCTGTAAGCTGTTGTGAAAAAAATTTGCTAAATTATTTTTTGTCCCGTATTCGGCTCTCACAAATATGGTCAGCGTACATATAAGTTCTCGTTGCCACGACCTAGTGCTTCAAAAGCCTTTTGATGAACATCTTTTAATTCTTGAAGTTAGGTTTTGCTGTTTTCCACACTTTTTTTTCGTGAAGCATCAAATAAAGTATTCGATGTAACACTTTCACTACCGAATAATTGTACAAAGTGGAAAGTACATCAAATTAATGGAATGCCACCAAAGTACTTAAAATGTATGAATAAATAATAAAATAAAAGCTAAACTCCGAAATATCGGGCAACTACTTTGCATTTAAAAGTTTTAGTTTAGATTTTATTGCTTGCCGACAAAGAATTACTCCATTTTGAAATGGCAAACATTTTCACACAAGATTTATTTGAATTACTTCAAACATTACAGGGCGTTGTCACTACACACACATTCGATTAACGAAGAGTTAGTTCAGCAGAAAGCAAATGACAGCAAGCAGCCTGCAAGCCAAATGACAAACGCTGATCGTGGCGAATGAACCATTTCCTTTATATTTTTTTTTTTGTGTTTAATGACTTTTTTATATTCACTCATATTTTCCGAATGCTTCGCACACTGCCTGTCTGTCTATATGTACACATGTGCTAATAATAGTTTTTGTCGCATAAATAGCGAAACAGCTTTGAGATCTTTGGCGCGATCGCCGGTAAATTCTCATCCATACACACACGCACGCACGCCATGCCAGTGGGCCAATTCAGGGCGTGATGCTGGCAATGTTGCTGCTGTTGTTGCTGTTGCGTGGAAGCTGTGCAAATGCGGAGAGTCAAGGCAGCGGACCCCTGAGAGAAAATCCATTTTATGAACCATTTTATGATTTTTGGAGACAATGTTTCCTTGTTGTTTGGCTTTTGAGGCCGCAGCAGCAGGCTGCCGATCAGGCGAGCACTTATGTATATCTTTGTGTATGTTCACCGACATAAACACATACATACATACATACATATACGTAAGTATATAAAAAATGATATCTGACAGAAGTGGCGGCGGCATTTGTGGAAAATAGTGTGGCGAGCAAATCTTTAGTCTTTTCTCGGCCGTGGTTAAGTAAAGTTGTGCGTAAGTAAAATATTGTGGCTAAATTAAAAGAAGAAACGCTTTGCATATCCTGCTAAAGTGTTGAGCATACATTTGTGTGAAAGAGTGTATGCAATGTGGAAATACCGTTGCTAATAAATTGAATGCAAAAAAATTCCAACTTCCGTTTATTTCCTTACATATTTTTATTCTGCATATTGCTAAAGTGTTCAAATAATTCCACATTAAATCAACAGCTATTTTTAGAACTTGCGGATTAAAAAGTATTTTTTATGTGTGCTATTTTCATTTTAAAAATTTGTATAGAATTCAAGGTGTCACCGACAAATCTGACAATGTTTTAACATCGCTGACACCACCGCATTAAAGTGTACTTAGTAAAGCTATTTGCGTTTTCTTCGCAAAAGTTTTTGATTTGGATAAGCGTAAAGGATTAGCAGCATGGCGGCGCACTGCCAATTCTTTTGGCTGATGGTGGTGGCGTTAATTGGTGGTAAGTGTATGCTTTCGTTGCTCGATTTCGTCTGAAATTGGTGTACTAGATAGTAGGAAGCTTCAAAAGAGTTCGAGAGTAAATATTTTGTAAGAGCGGGATCTGAAGACTGACAAATTAAAAGAGTTTTATCCATCAATAGGATTATCTCAATTAGGTTTTCTTTCTTGTTAAGTAAATTAGCCCCCGTAGAAGAGTGGTTAGAGTTAGTCGAATCTAGGCTCGATTCCGAAAACACAGAAAAAGTTGTTGCTATTTGCGGTCGTCATCCAACAAACAATGCCAAACCTCGCAGTGTATTTCTGCCATGAATACTCAAATCACAAATTGGAGTAGAAGCTCGGAAAAGACACTTTACAAAAAAATTTGAAATAAGGTACAAGAATTCGTTATGAAGAAGGTGGTGGACCAGGCCAAAATAGTACTGATCAAAATATCTTAACCAAATGAGAAGAAAGAAAATTGTGTCCGAATAAAAAGGTTTTAAATTTAGTATTTAATAAAACAATGAAAGCACAAAACTAAACATTTAATAAGTAGCTATTTATTAAAATTAATAACGTTCTTCTTTTATGCTAAGAGACGCGTTCCCTCCAGAGTTCCAAGAAATTTTGCATTCCTCCCGGCTGCTATATTGCACTATAAATCTAAAATTAGGATAGGACCACCCTTGTGGTAAAACCTTTCCGATAAAAAAGAATTGTCAAAAACGGTTCATGTGGTCCAAAGTTACATACAAAAAAAAAAAACATATTCTGACGAATTGGCAACTACAATTGAGATAAACTATAAATTTATTGAATGGAAATTTATTCCTTTTTAATTCAAAGTCAAGCCTTATAAATTCGCTTAAGGTGTTTTACTAAAATGATACAGACATAATCTGAAAATTAAGGTGCAATCAATGCTCTTGGTTCTTTGATAATATTCTCTAAAATGGTCAGCGAAAGCCCGACTTAACAAGCGATCGCATCAGAATACAAAGCTAAAGGTAATGTGGGTACCAGCCACAGCCATAGGAAATTTAGAGAACGCTGAAAAAATTCTGCGAATGTGAGGTGGCTACGTCATTTTTTTCACGGCTGGATTAGGGCGGACTAAGGTCAAAGCTTGTAGCAGCTACTTCTACCGGTGGAAATCTCAACTGGCCGGCCGGTTGGATGGAAATTTCGTAAAGCTTCGATGGAGTTACGTTGTGCTTTCCCTCTAAGCTAGTTATGTGTATGTATGTAGATTTCATTGCTAGTGTTGATGTGATAAGGTCAAGATGGTGATGCAAAATGAACACTAAAAACTAGACCAAGGAAGATATTTACAATAAAGTTTCATATATATATGACCATTGTAAACTCTAATCATTATCAGATACACAAGTATGTATAGTAGTAGAAAGTCGACAGTGCTTAAAGTTCATCGGCAATGGAATCGTTAATAACTCATCCTTTATGCACATTCGTTTAGTTCGTCCATTTTTAGCCTACAAAAATTCAGTGACTTCCACACTACTGAGAAGATTGGGTCTGAGCTTAAGTTCAGCCGGTTCGAAAACGACCTATCTCAGAAACCTTTTCAAGAACGCCCTCTTTCAGATATTGATTGAAGAACGCCTTATCTCAGAATTTCATTGAAGAACACCGTATTTCTGAATTTGATTCAAAAACATCCTATCTCAGCTACCGCCTCAAAAACGCTCTATATTAGCATATCTTCAATAGGGCAATTCATCTACTTTGAATACCATAAATAACTGTAATATATTTTCAGTTAAGACAGGGCGTTTTTGGAAAAAAAAATTCTAAGAAAAGGCGTTTTTCAATCAAATTCTGATATAGGGCCTTTTCGCACCGGCTGCCGAAGATGGGTCGATCTTCCACTCAGCCGTCAATATATTTCTTTGGTGGATATGATTTTGAAAATGACATAATTCGGGCGTTTATCTTCCGATTCTTTTTAATTTTCGAAAACCGGGGAATTATATCTATGACATGTTTGTTGTTTTATTCTGAATTGAAAAAATATGTAGATATTGAAAGTTTTTCAATTTCTTTATTTATGACTGCTGCTGCTAAATGAGAGAGTCATATCACTATACGGATCGGAAACTGAATAAGAAAATCGTTTAATGTGCGACAGACAGGCCGGCCGGCGAGCAAACTCCATACCACATCCTAAATCAAAAATAGTCACAAATAAAAATTTTTCAAAATTAATTTTTTTCTATAAAACAGTTCACAGAGAACATATCGAGCCCTAACCGCCAAAATAACGTAAGCCACATTTTTTTCAAAATTTTCTTTTTGATGCAGAAATATTCCTAGAGCATCTAGATGCATTTCTGCATCAAAAATAAAATTTTGAAAAAAATGTCGCTTACGTTATTTTGGCGGTTAGGGCTAGATATTTACCCGTATAACGTCCGTCAAAATTTATTCCTCACCACCATCTTCCTTAACTGAAAAAATACTGTCAAAATTGTTTTTATTTTGCTTGCGCAGCATCAAAAGTTTTTGCCTCCACAATATTTGGGATTTTTTGAGTTGTGACTGTTTTTGATTTAGGTGCGATATGTACATACAAACATATGTATATATATATATGCGCTTTAATATTTATATACAAACATATGTATGTATGTATATTAGGGCGGGTCAATATTTATCGACAATTCGCATATGCGCACAGCAGGACTCTATGTGTAACTCTAAGCAAATTTGACAAAGAAACTATGGTTCTAAAATCAATTTGGAGTTTGCCAAATTGCAAAAATAAGTTTCGTAGAAAATGTGAAAATTTTCACTGTTGCCTATCCACGTGAAAATTTTAAGAAAAATATATGTGCAAAAATGGATTCGTCATACCAAAAAACCCCTCGTAGTTTATTTAGTACAAAATTAAAGCACTTCTCTACGACGCTATAGTAAAATGCTACGAAACCTATTTTCGCAATTTGGCGAGCTCCAAATTGATTGTAGACCCATGGCTTCTTCGGCAAATTTTTCTTTACAAAAAATCTCCCATACCCTAATGTACATATGGTATACAAATATGTATGTACAAAGTAGTATAAGAAAACATTAAGTCATTTAAAAATATCAAAGCATAAATCAAAGTGAAAATTCACTAGAAAAAATTAGCGTCGTGTTTCTGAGGAACAGAGAATGAGTAGGTGGTTGCCACACTATTTTTTATACACCAACAACTTGAACATGCAAATGTTTATTTCTTTAAATTATTTGTGATCACCATTGAATCAGCATTTATTTTTTTTATTTCTTTGCATTTTTGCTTTTGTTTGAAAAGTGTCACTGGCGGGTTATGAGGATTGTGAGAACGCGCCCTACGCCGAGCATTCGGCCATACAAATAATCGACAACGAGGATGCAGTGCGAGCCATTTACACATGCGAAGAAGGCTACGAGTTGAGAGGCATCAACGAGTTGGTATGCAATTTAGATACAGACCTCTGGGATGCCGAACCGCCGACTTGTGTAAAAGGTAAGTAAATACACCACACCGGTGACGGCTTCGAGCTGAATAAGGAAATCGAAAATTTCAGTTGAGCTCTCGAATGAGGTGGCTGACGGGGCAAACAGTGGGCGCGCGGGGAAAAAGAAGAAACCGCTAGATATAATAGAAGATCGCCACGTATCTGCGGATATGGCCGCCTCGCTGGATATGTCCTGTGTGCAGGCTAAAGTGAAGGCGCCAGAAATACGTCATGGCTTTGTAGAGAAATACGATCGGCGACGCAAAGGCGACCATATCTTCTTGGTGGCTTTCTATGCGTGCAATGACAACTTCGAGTTGGAGGACGCCGAGATAGCGACGCTGTACTGCAGTCAACGCAAATGGGTAGGAGAACTGCCGACGTGTGTGGCGCTGGGCGAATACACCGATGTGGACGAAGAAGGTGAGTGTTGTTAAAAATAGAAATAAGTTTTGAAATTAATGTTTGTGTGGCGCTAGAATACGACGAATATGAAACAGTTGATGGCGATGAAGAAGATGAAGCTGAGGGAGAGGAGGAAGAAGGGGCTGTTGATAATCGTGTAGCGCCGCCGCCACCACCACCACCTGCAGAAGTCGAGCCTATGCAGCCTATAGAGCAAGAGATCAGCAATGAGATTGAGCCCACCGTACAACAAAACGTGGAAGCTACGCATCCCGTTGAAGTTGACAGCGTTGAGCCTATTACCGAACCGGAACCTGCACCAGTTACGGACGTGAATATTGTCATCGCACCCACACAGGATCCATATACGCCACGTTTCCTCGACAATGACTGCGGTCCAGACAATGGCGGCTGCGAACACAAATGCGAGCGTCTGCTTTTCCCTGGCGAGAACGAGCCACGCCTGAAATGCTCCTGCTTTGAAGGGTTCAGCTTGGATCCAAACAATTACGCAAGTTGTCATGGTGAGCATAAAAAGAAAGCACATCTTTTCAAAATTCATTGTATTTATTTTCGCTTTTCATTTTGCTAAGACATCAATGAATGCCAGCTGAACAATGGCGGCTGCGAGCAAATCTGCAACAATCTGCCCGGCTCCTACCAGTGCGCCTGTGAGCAGGGTTTACAAATCGATACGCTAACGGGCAACACATGCACCGGTAAGTGACCAGCCGGCCCATCTGTTCAAGAGAACTTTAGATTTTAAACGCTTTTATATCATTTATTCCATATAATTGCATGCATCACCCCTTCCTTATACCTTCACCGTTAAACACCCGCTTGTATTCGTATTACACGCAATCATTCGACACGGCCACTCACACTCACACACATTCACACAACTACGTACAACACGCACACATACACATACGGTTTTGGCTGCCACAGACATCAACGAGTGCCTGTTACGCAACGGACATGGGCCATGCCAGGACACCTGCCACAACGAGTGGCGCGGCTACAGGTGTTCCTGCGAAGGTCTGGCTGGCACGCAATTATCCCAGGATAATCACACATGCGAAGATGCTGGCGAGTGTGCCATCGCCAACGGTGGCTGCTCACACCAGTGCCTCTCCTCAATGGGTCGCATCTATTGTCTGTGTCCAAGCGGTTGGCTGATGTCGCCGGACGGAACGAACTGTGAAGGTGCGTGCGCTGTGGCGTTGAAAGCTGATACGCAGAATTGCTTAATGACTGCTAGCCAAATTAGCTGAAATTGAATGTGTAGAAGCAGCAATCTCGAAGTGTCAATCTAACTCACCAAACCAACTTCATTTACGCTCATTAGTGGAAAAGTCGTATTTCTGAGCTAATTTTTATTTCTTTGCATTTGCAGATATCAACGAATGCGAGCAGCCTGAAGTGGCAGCGCTGTGTTCTGCCGGCTGTGAGAATACACCTGGCTCTTACCGATGCGTACCAGCGCTCAATACTCCCGAAGATGCCAAAGAGAACGCAGAAGAAAACGAAGATACTGAAGATAGTGGAAATGCAGACGCTGATGAGCCTGTGAGTGAAGACGATCAGGGTATACGCCGCATTGCCGAAACTGAACCCATCTGCCCAAGTGGCTATCGCGCTGGCGGCGACAATTCGGACAAATGCGTTGACATCGACGAATGCGCTGAGGGCACCAGCGGGTGCGAGCATTGTCTCAACACTGTGGGTTCCTATGAGTGCACTTGTCCCGGTGGCTACGATCTTGCCGACGATGAGCGCACCTGCATAGACATAAACGAGTGCGATGTCATTGTAGAGCGTGAGGACGACTCTGATGCTGCGCCTGCGAAGATTTGCTCTGGTGGCTGCGAAAACACAATCGGCTCCTTTATTTGCACTTGCGAAGCCAATCAACATCTGCTCGAAGACCGACGCACATGCGCTATAGACACTTGCAAAGACTTGAATAATCCGCAATTGAATAAGACACGTTGCGCCTACCAGTGCATGGACTTGCCCAGTGGCGTCTACGAATGCGTTTGTCCAGCGGGTTATACGCTGAGCGATGATCTGCACAATTGCGAGGTGGCCGAAAGTGTTTGCGCCAAGGAAGGCGGCTATGAAAGCTGTGCGCCAGGCACTTGCATCCCAAGTGAGGATAACAGTTCATATGAGTGCGATTGTCCGGCTGGCTATGTGAATGAAGGCAACCATTGCAATGATGTCGACGAATGTGCCGCTGAGCTGCACGGGTGCTCACACGAATGCCTCAACACTTTAGGTGAATATCAGTGCGGCTGTCCAGCTGGTTTTCGATTTACCGAAGGCAGCGATCACGTGTGTGAAGACATCGACGAATGTGCGTCCAATCCTAATCTGTGTGGCGCTTTAAACTGCGTCAACAATCCTGGCAGCTTCATCTGCCTATGCACGGATGGCTCCGTTCCCGATGCCGCGACTGGCGCTTGCCATATCGCCGATCCTTGCGAGGCCCACCAGTGTTCGCACCAATGCATTGCTGAAGGTGTTGGCTTCAAGTGCATCTGCCCGCATGACATGTCACTGGCTGATGATGGACTAAACTGCTTTTACAAGGATATTTGCGCCGAAAACAACAACGGCTGTGAACAGATTTGCAGATCGGAAGATGATGGTGCTTGTGGCTGCCGCAGCGGTTACGAACTGGCTGCCGATGGCAAGTCGTGTGTGGACGTGAACGAGTGCGAGATTGGCAATGGCGGTTGCCATCAAGTTTGCCAGAACTATGCAGGTGGGTACGACTGTGCCTGCGAACCGGGATTTGAGTTTCTCGATGGATCGCTCAAGTCATATTGCTTCGACGTAGACGAATGCGCTTTGGGGTTGCACAATTGCGGGAAGGGCATGCTGTGTGAAAATCTTAATGGATCTTTCACCTGCATATGCCCACAGGGGTTCGCGCTGGGCTTACCACCGGTTTATGCTTCGCTGCGGGCTTTACTTTCATCATATCATCCAGCTGCGCCGAAATCATACGCTTCATCATCAGTCATGCAAACTCAGCCCACATCTATCATAAAACATACACCCTCATGTCTAGACATCGACGAATGCTCTATATCGAATGGCAATTGCTCCCATTTTTGCTTGAATTATCCTGGCAGCTTTCAGTGTTCTTGTCCGCCGGGCTATGCACTAAGTAGTGCCGATAATCGCACCTGTCTGCTGGTGAATGCTTGCTTGCAGAATAACGGCGGCTGCTCGCATGAGTGTGCATTAGTGCCAGGTGTGGGTGCGCAGTGCCATTGTCCAAGCGGATATGGGCTCTCTGTGGATGCGCGCACCTGCCTTGACATTGACGAATGCGCTGCGGCTAATGGGGGCTGCGGTCAGCTTTGTCGCAACGCGCCGGGTAGCTTTGAGTGCGCTTGTAGCATGGGTTACGAAATGTTGGCAAATGGGCGCGACTGTGCCGATATTGACGAATGCGCAAATGGGTTTGGTAACTGTACTTTCATCTGCGTAAATCTTCTAGGTTCGTACGAATGCGGCTGCGAGGGAGGCTTCCAGCTGGCTGAGGATCGCCGCACCTGCATCGATATTGACGAATGTGCACTGAGACGACACGATTGTTCCCACGAATGTGTAAATGTAGAGGGCGGTTATGAGTGCATATGCCCAGAAGGTTACTTATTAGGTGACAATAAAGCGACCTGCTTGGATGTAGATGAATGCGTAGGCAGCGAACATGGCTGTAGCCATGGTTGCAAAAACAAATTGGGCGACTATGAATGCAACTGTCCTGATGGCTATGCGCTTGCAGTTGACAATAGAAACTGCGTCGAGGTAACTTCTGTGATTGATACACGAACCAATGAGCTCGATGTGGACACAGCCTTGATTGATGTCTGTTTGCGCGAAAATGGCGGTTGCTCTCACATTTGTAATCCCGAAACAGGTTGCTCATGTCCAAGTGGGCTAGAGCTTTCCGTCGACGGAAAGACGTGTGCCGATATCGATGAATGCGGATACAACAATGGCGGATGTGCACGTATTTGCCACAACACTATCGGTGGCTTCGAGTGTCTCTGCTCAGACGCGGCAACGCCGGACAATGGTCACAGCTGTGTGGCACTTTGCCCGCCCGGCTTTACAGTTAGCTCGCAAGACCCCGCGAAGTGTGAGGATATCGATGAATGCGCCACACCAGGTCTCTGTCAATACAGCTGCGTAAACACAAATGGTTCATATGAGTGCGTCTGTCCGAAAGGCTTCGCGCTGCGCAATGGACGCGACTGTGAAGACATAAATGAGTGCTTGAATGAAAACGGCGGTTGCGTGGGCGGTGATTGCATCAATCACATTGGCAGCTATCAGTGTAAGTGTCCAACGGGACAGCGTTTGGCTGTGGATCGTCGCACGTGTGAGCGCGCGCCGGAGCTGCGTGATCAGTGCGCCCCTTTCTTGGCGCCCGCCAATGGGGACTTCCACTGTACCAAGTATCGCCACAAGAAGAAGCACTTCTACAACACACGATGTAAGGTTTGGTGCAAAGAGGGCTATCGCTTGGAAGGACCATCACAACGGTTTTGCAATTCCTCCGGAGAATGGGATAATTTCGAAAATCTTTGTACGCGTAAGTAGTGCAATCCTCTTAGTTAACGAAAAAGATTAGTCTTATCTGTGCCGCTTTGCAGCTACCGTTTGTCCCCGCTTGCAGCCACCACTCAATGGCGTAATTATACCCACTGCCTGTACAGCTGGTAAGGTATTTATGGGCGAACGCTGCCGGCTACAATGCCAGCCTGGCTATGTGCCAGTCGGAAAAAGCGTAGGAGTCTGCACAGCTGACCTCACTTGGTCGCACAATGCTACCTTCGAATGCATGCCAGCGACGAGAACACAGTTTCTGCCAGCTATACCTTTGCCTGGCCCACTGCCTGTCAGCCCGTCAGTAAATGGCTTCCTCAATCGACCCACAATAACACAAGTGCGACCACGAATCGGTTTTGGTGGATCAGTTGCTGCTCGACGTCCATTCATTAAGTGTCCACGAAACACCACAGTTTTCTTGGCGGCAGGCGCCAGCACTGCACACATCATTCTACAAAAACCCATCACCAATATGGATTACCGCTACATTGAGTCTCACCCAGCTTGGACTCGCAATATGCAAGCGCATCTGGGCGCTGGACGGCATGTGGTGACATTCCGTGGTCGCGATCCAGTCTCGGGCAGACGGGCAAGATGCCAGACAATCATTTATGTGGAGCAGGCCGCATCGCCGAAAGTGAATTTCTGTACGCGCTCATTTGAGGTGGCTTTAAGTCCAAACCAAGTGTATCGTTCGGTGGTATGGAAGGAGCCACGTTTCGAAAGCACACTGGGTCCAATTAAGAAGCTTTATAAGTCGAGAGTAAGTGGTGCGGCTTAACTACTATATAAAAGTTGCATCTTTAATCTATAAATAGATACCTGGTGAACTGTTTAATGCTGGCAAGCATACAATTTACTATGAGGCAACCAGTGAGCAGGGGATTACGGCACGCTGCGAGTTCCAAATTATCGTTAAAGGTAAGAGAAAATCGGATTCGCCATTTCACTATAATTTGTGCGAGGTAATTTCCCTCACCTTCTTACAGAAGCATTACCTACACCCTCGACACCCTTGCCCTCACTTGACTTGAGCTACCCGGGAGTGGCGGAGCCTGTTCTACAACCTGCACCCTTAATGCGTCTGCCGTCTACAGCAGGCTTGAATGCCAAACTATTGGCGGGTCATGAGTCCTTCGTAATTTGCCCAGGGCAAGCGCCAGTTAAGGTCACAAACTCGAGATCTGTAAGTTACTTCCGACCTGAATATCTGATTCGTGTGCGCTATTCTTGGTATAAACGCCCTGCTTGAACTGTTTTTTTAGTAAAATAAATTTGAATGCATTCCAGACTGGCCAGCTTATAGTATTTGCTTCCTATTGATGCTTTCCACATTTTCTAGTAATATTTTTACGGAAATACGCTTAACCTTTTTGTACTTTTTTTTTGTAAAAAAACAGGTAACTTTACCCGTGGGCTGCATATTAAAGAATGTTCGGAACTCGTCGGTGCGTCGCCATGCCCAACGTCGTTTGATTACCACAAATTGGTCGCATTTTACTCCGTTTTAAACGAAATGCATATTACCAAAGTTTGTACTTTTAATAGCATAATATAATTACTTTAAAGCCAAAAATGGACAGCTACTTGCACTTGAGAAGCTTTTGTATTTTAATTTAATATTTGTATTTTGAATAATAAAAAAAATGTGTACGCAATAAAGTGAAATAAAATTGTTTGAAATATATTTTTTTGGATCTCTGACCTTAATAAAGCCATAACTGAAATTGGCGAGGGGAAAAGTTAACTGATAGTTGTGTCTTTCTCTCTTGATACCATACCCTTGAGTGTACAGATAGCTTGGAAATTATAAGGAACAAGTGCGGGATAACTAAGCACTGAGCGGAGTTATTGAGCTAAATTCCACTACAGAACACCTACAACAAATAGATTCATCGCCAAGTCCATGTGGTTTGCAGACATCACTGTATCGCTGATAATATGGGAGGTTTTAGAGAGAGGACCAATGCTTAAGCAAGGTAGCCAACAACCAACCACATCACTCAAGAGCTCTACGCCGCCCCCTAACTTTTCACTTATCGTCAACTCTATGAGTGGCTGTAAATATTCGGACTCATTTTGGAGTCAGCAAAGTCTCAGAATGCTGAGTTGTAAACCTCATTATGAGCTCAAAAAAGAGTCAGAAAAGAGCATGTTTAGCTTCTTAGAAAGGCACGACAATACGAGTCCACATTAGGAGTCATATTAGAGTCTGAAATCCATGACGCTTTTCTCAGTCTTAAAAACAAATATCTTTGTAATTCTGATTAGGTATAAACTATTATTTTTACGTAAATTTGTTACTTTGGTTCAACTCAGAATTTATAACATCAAAAGGGTCCGAAATGAGTCAGTCTAGTTGACGGGTCGCATAATCATTAATTTTAGACTCATAAATCTGCAGTTCTTCAGGCCATGGTCGATGTAATATCGATCTCGATAAGCGCACTAGCATAAATATCGAAAAACTGTATTGGGTACTAGGCCAGTGCGGCATCGAAGCGAACGAGAGGAGGCCTATCTATAATTTGTCCTCGTGAGACTGGATTTAGTTTGTTTTCTTCAAAACTTATAATTAGTAAGTGGTGGGCGGCCTTAGGCAAGCCAGCCTCCTTTTAGATAGAGCTTACCACTGGTAGCTCGATGGGTACCTAATAGGGTGATTGACTTGAGGTTTTTTTTTGATATCTATAGGCGGTTTTTTCAAATCTCGATTATTGAATAAACCGGAATTTTTTATCGAACAAAGCAGTTTTTTTCTTTCATACAAATCTTGATCTCTCAATAAATGATTTTGAGTTTAGCGAAGATTTCAAGGCCTCTTCCAGTTTAAGGGAAATCCCTTAATAGTTTTAAAGTTATATCCTAGGTTATTTGGGGATGAAGAGAGTTCCTATTATCATATTTGATATCAATAAATGAACGTTTGGCGCTTAAACGTTTTCTACGAGTTTGGTCGAGCTTCCTCCCAAATTCGTGTTCTGCTTCTTAATGCTGTGATACAAATGGAGAGATATACACCTTTACCCCACCTTCGTCCTGTTGGCCATTGTCTGCCGAGGGGAGACCGCTATTTAAAAAAAAAAAAACGTGTGATGTTGCTGGAACCAAAAATTTAACCATGGACCTCGGAATTGGCAGTAGGCACCTCTAACCACTGGCTGCGGCGGCAAGGGCACTACTATTCAACAAGTAATTTTAAGCAAAAAAACGTACTTTAATTCTCATATAAAAATATAAATATATGTATACATAGATTAGTATGGGGCCACCTCTGAGATACTACCTTTCCGATGCAAAAAGAAATATCGAAATCGGTTGACGTGGTCCAAAGTTATGCGGTAACATACATAAAAAAAAATATTCCGACGAACTGATAACCTCCTCTTTTTTTGTAAGTCGGTTACAAATGTTGAACTAAAAACAAGCGTGAATTTTTCACTGATTTTTATTTGTTTTACTTTTGATCTAAAAAACTTTGTACTTATTCCCGTTTTGCTCTTTTCTAAATAAGAGCTATCTTTACTGTATGAAATCTAAGTAAAATAACACCGGTTTTTTTCGAAAACTTCAAATCAGGAACCGGTTTTTTACTACTACAAAAAACTACTATAACAAATGCGCTGCAGTCGAAATATTTATTACCCCCGTATGTGTTGTTAAGGATGCATACAAAGGGCGCAAAATTGTGTAAGTTAAGCGCACCTATGTATCACGCCCCCATAACCCTAAATGCGAGCTTGGATCTATCTCCGCATGAAATTGCTCAGGGCGGCCGTTATTGCAGCAGTGAGACTCAAATGGAGTAAAAGAATCTCTGGTCATTCAGATGTTCTAGGGACATAACCGTGTCACGGATGTATCAAAAAGAATTGTTTACCATTTACCACTCAAACAAATGCAAGGCGAATTCCCTTACTGAATGCCATACACCTCCCATAGATCAAGCCCAGGTTTATAAAATCAAATTAATATGTATCCTTGGACGCCTGGATATAAGACGAATTGTAAAAGTGGGGAATCAGCAAGGAAGGATTCGACCACATCCTTGAACAATATTCAAGATATTGGTTCTCCTCTCCTATAACAAAAAACGCACATCTGTACACTCTTCAGTTTCCTTACTTGACACAATACTAGAGGTTGACGCATCGGGCCAATGTTGTAGTTGCAGGATCATAGAAGGCGATTAAGCACGCTTAGAAGAGATCTCACAGGTGGAAATGTTACTATCGGTAAAACTCAGGACATCGAAGGGGATATATTCAGAGCACTAGTATGCTTAGCCTATGTGTTTGTGCAGAATTCTGATCCTTAGCTGTTGCAACCTAAACTAAAAATTTTTGCTTTTCGGCATTATTTTGCATTGGCAAACACAGAAGTTCTTATAAGGCGTCGCGAAGCAAGCGGCCATTATTGGCACATACTTTTGGGGGAAATTTAAACAATTTCTCTGAGACTCAAAATTAGTTTATTACACATTTGTATATATATTAATATCAACATACAAACATACATACATACATATAGATATATTTACATATATGTATGTATGTACATACTCACTCACTAAAGGTGTTCTTACACGAGACGTATTTGGCATCTGTAAATGGGACTTTTTCAATACGCATGTAATTGCGTATGTCTGTCAAATTTACAGTCTTTATTTAACTATTTAAAAATACATGCTTTGAAAACGAAATAAACTAAACTCCGATGATTCTATCTGTGTTTCAGATGAAAATAGAAACATTTATATGTTTCGTGTGTACGTGCATCTGCTTTGTACAGAAACAAATCTAATTTGCCTTTACACGATATGTTGACATTTCCATATGTAAAAAGTGGCATGTACACATGCAAATACATATCGTGTAAGAGCACCTTTAATAAGTATATGAAAACATTTTGAAAAATTGCATCATAAATTTTATAATGAACATTAAAGGGGAAAAACATAATAACTAAGTGTGTATACTATACGTATACATATGTATGTGAGCTGGATTTTTTGATTGTTTGTAAACAAATATAACCTTATATGAGTACTTATATTTACTTATGAACTATACATACATCCATCCGGGCACATACATACTTAATATATTTTGGGGTGACTGAACTGGTTTATGTGTCCAAAGAAAAGTTCATTCACAAAAACTATTTCAAAAAATGGAAAACAAATGAAAATCGACATCAAAATGTGAAGATTTTCAGTGTGATACGTGCAGCAGACAACGTAAACAAGAAGTAAGAAAACTACTTTGATGTAATTCGTGATTAAATTTTTTCGAGCTTTGAATTGATTATTTAAGTGCTTCGAACTCTTGCTAGGTAAGGGCCTTTCTATAGTTTAATGGTTTTTACAGTAGCTTGTAATAGCGGCAAGAAATTGCATCAGTTGTTTGCTGAAGTTTTGTTTATTGGTACTTAAGCACATATGTATGTACATATGCATTTACAAATTGTTAGGCCTTTATTGTGATCACAATATTTTTAAGCTGCTTCCCAGATAAGAAATTTGAAATTAATATATTTATATATGTACCTAATTGTAAAACAAAAAAGTTTTCTTCTAATAGCGGTCGCCCCAGGGGCAGGCAATGGCAAACCTCCGAGTGCCATGAAAAACAACTTCTCATAAAAATACAATCGCCATTTGGCGTCGTCGGCATAAAACTGGAGGATCCTCACCTCCTTTGTGAGACAACTACATGTAAACGCCAATCTATTACCTACAAATATGTAAACTTCAGTACTCTACTGAAACTCTCGCCTTTAACTTACTGAAGGCTAGACCCGCTTGTGCGTCACGCGTGCAAAAAAAAATATTTATATTTGTTTCAAATTGGCGATACAAGTTACATTATAAAACCGTAAATAAAGTATTTAAATATAAAAATAATAATAAGTAAATATTTTCTGCTAAGTATTCTTTTGTGATTATAAGAACACACAATTTGTTTAATTCAACACGCATTTCTAAAGACAAAACACACGTACTATATATGTATGTAGCTAATAATGATAACAAGAAGACGAAAGCCGCGTTTTGAGCTTTAGGCCGAGGTTCTCCACTACATATTTATTTATGGACATATTAATTTTTTCTCTCCCGCAGCCAAGTAAGGCTACTTGTTGGTGAGTTCTAAATTAGATTATCTGCAATCTCCTCGTATCCAGCTATTTGAGCAGCGAACCCACAACTTTTAGATTGGCTGTCGACTCGCTATGCAGACGCACACTTACATAGTTTTGAGAGCTGCCATAACCCTGAAAAATTTGTGCGACTAATCTATAAAAAGAGTATTCCAGGATTAGTCTTCGTTAGGTATAAGTGGGCATTAATTAATCGTAACTAATCTCACACCCGTATAATTGGAGATCAATTGATTGATTACAATGGAAGATTTAAATAATTATATGTATGCCCCTAAGCAACGAAATTTCATATGCAACATTGGCACGGAGACAGAATATTCCCTAAGCAAGCCTTAGATTCCCGATTAGAGTCTCAGCTGGCGTAGTTTTGTTTTTAAGAGCGACTACTCCATTTCCATGCTCGTTCGGGTATAATGAGTCTCTTCATAGGGCATGCTCGAACAAAAGCGAAAATTTATTCCATATAAAGAGATCAAACGTGGTAT